CAACAACGCACCGCTCCTTTATGTCCGCATCCAAGTTGGGCAAGCGTCCTGCAGCGCTTTGCTGGATAGCGGCGCAACTCGCAACTTCATTAGCCAGTCCTTTATGCAAAGGGCAGGCCTTGGCCCACAAGTTCGAAGGAAGGCACACCCTACGGCGATCAAGTTGGCGGACGGTAGGACACAACAACTCCTTGACCGCTACATTGACGCTGTACCGGTCAATTTCGCACCTCATGCATGCGAACCGGTGACGTTTGACGTCTTGGACACGGACTTCGACATCATATTGGGTATGCCTTGGCTTGCAAGTGTGGATCACACAGTCAACTTCCATCAGCGGACACTTACGGTCCGAGACGCGTTTGGCGCCGAAGTACCATGTACCATCCCTCTTCCGCACCCTTCGATCCGGTGCCAAGTTGTAACGGCCTAATCTTTTCAGGCCACTTGCGCTTACGAGCGGACCGACGAGATAGGCCTATGTTTTCTTGGAATCGTCGCGGCAGCTGAATCACAACCCACGGACTTGTCTTCTGACCCCCAGGTGGTCCGGTTGTTTGACGAATTCGCCGACATCTTCGAGTCACCTACCGGCGTGGTGCCGGATCGATTGATCTCCCACGAGGTCATTCTCGAGGCCGGTGCCATGCCGCCGAAAGGTTGCATCTATCGCATGAGCGAGGAGGAACTTACAGTACTCCGCGCACAGCTCGATGATTTGTTGGACAAAGGCTGGATCCGGCCTAGTAGCTCACCCTATGGTGCGCTGGTTCTCTTCGTGTGGAAGAAGAACAAGGATCTTCGCCTATGCATCGATTACCGCAAGCTCAATGCACAAACCGTCAAGAACGTGGGACCTCTTCCTCGTATTGACGACCTTCTGAAGCGTTTGGGCAGCGCGAATTTTTTTTCCAAGTTGGATTTGAAGTCGGGGTATCATCAGATTTCGATACGCCTGCAAGATCGCTACAAGCCCGTGTTTAGGACACGGTACGGGCATTTTGAGTGGGTTGTCATGCCTTTCAGACTCACCAACGCCCCGACGATTTTTCAAGCGGCGATGACCAATGAGTTCCGTGCAATGCTAGACCGGTTCGTGCTGGTCTACTTGGACAACATCTCGAGCATTTTCAACGAGTGTTGGAGACGCTCCGTCGCGCCAAGTACAAAGCCAACCGCGACAAGTGCGAATTTGTACGTCAAGAGTTGGAATACTTGGGCCATTTCGTCACTCCACAAGGCATCAGTCCGTTGTCGGACAAGATTCAAGCCATCCAAGATTGGCCGGAGCCGCGGAACGTCACGGATGTCTGTTCGTTCCTTGGCCTTGCAGGCTACTACCAACGTTTCATCAAAGGGTACTCGAAGATCGCGGCTCACTTATCCAAGCTTCAATGCAAGGACCGACCATTTGACTTCGGGACGGATGCGCGGGAATCATTTTTGGCCCTCAAGGCAGCATTGTTGTGTGCGGAAGTCTTGCGCATATACGACCCGCTATTGCCAACGTGCGTCACCACGGATGTGTTCGACTATGGCATTGGTGCCGTCCTCGAACAACATGATGGCGTGGACTGGCACCCGGTCGAATACTTCAGCAAGAAAGTGTCGGTCGGGCACTGAATCGATGATGCACGCAAGAAGGAACTTCTCGCCTTCGTCCACGCACTCAAGCGGTGGCGGCACTTCCTCCTTGGTCGACGCCAATTCCGATGGGTAACGGATAACAATCCGTTGGTCTTCTACAAGACCCAAGACACCGTCAACAACACAATCGCTCGTTGCATGGCTTTCGTCGACCAGTTCGACTTCTTTCCCGATCATATCCCGGGGAAGTCCAACCGTTTTGCGGATGCTCTTTCACGGCGCCCGGATCACTGCACCGCCGTTTACTCGACCTTCGAGATAAAGGACGGCTTGCCGGACAGTTTCATCTGCGGCTATCAAGCCGACCCCGAATTTCACGACAAGTACGCAAATTGTTCCTCTCCCAATCCGGCGCCTTTGCACTATCGAATCCAAGAGGGATACTTGCTCCTTCACTCGCGGGGGAAGGATCTACTTTGTGTGCCGCAAGACTCACATTTGCGCACAAGGCTTCTTGGCAAGTTCCACGACGCCCCCGCCACCGGACACTTTGGAGTCAATCGCACGATAGGCCGACTCCGCGAGCGCTTTTGGTGGCCCGGTCTTCTCGACGACGTCACACGCTATTGCGAGTCATGCGAGGTTTGCCGACGTTGCAAATCCCGCAATCATCGTCTGTACGGCGAACTGCGACCATTACCGGTCCCCTTGCGCAGAAGGGAAGTAATTGCCATGGACATTATCGGGCCGTTCCCCAAGCACAAGACAGGTGTGGATGGGATTCTCACGGTGGTTGACCGACTCACCAAGTTTGCCATGTTTTTGCCTTGCCGCTATCACGCCAAGGCACCGGAGTTGGCCGAGGTTCTCTTCGCCGGTTGGATTCGAACCAAGGGTTACCCCAAGGAGATCGTCTGCGACCGCGACACTCGGTTCATGTCCAATTTTTGGTTGGCGCTCATCAAACAATGGGGCTCATCCCTCAAGCCGAGTTCGGCTCGCCACCCCCAAACCGATGGCCAAACGGAGAGGGCACATCAGACCGCACAGGTCCTTCTTCGCACTCTCATCTGTCCCGACCGAAAGGATTGGGTTGAGTGGCTGCCGGATATCGAGTTGGCATACAACTCGTCCATCCATCCGGCTATCGGGATGTCGCCCTTTGAGTTCGAGCATGGCTCGCTGGTCAATTCTCCGTTTGACCGAGAGCGACGACCATCTTCTCTTCATTAGTCGAATGCAAGAGCTTCTTGTCAAGGCACGCGACCAGATGTCAAAGACGCAGCAACGTATGCGCCAACAGGCCAACCACCAGCATCTTCCTTGTCCGTTCCGTGCCGGCGACTTCGTATGGGTTTCCGCTGCGGAATTCAGCCTCCAACAAGATATCTCTCGCAAGCTCCTTCCGAAATGGATGGGGCCCTGGCCGATCGTGGCACCCGCTGGGGACGCACCCGAAGGACCGTCATTTATCATTCAGGTGCCCGCCCACTTGCCCGTGAACCCGGTCTTTCACTGTTCCAAGTTGGCTCTCTACACGCCAGCGGAACTTGACGACTTTCCCGGGCGACGATCGCAAGACCCACCCTCGATGGACGGTTTCCAAGAGGTTGGCGACATCATATCCCAGCGACGTTACGGCAACAGGCCGACTGAATTCTTGGTCAATTTTGCATATTGCACCCATAGAGCTGACATATGGTTGACCCGTGCGGAACTTCAAGCAACAGCTCCCGATGTCCTCGCACGCTACGAACGCAAGTTGCAAGGCAAGCCGGCATCTTCAGCTCCACGACGCACCCGCGTCCAAGTTCCACCTTCAGATCGTCAGCTTCGCCCTCGACCCGGCTTGACTTCATAAGGAGGGGGGGGTGTTGCATGCTGCGCCTGCACACGGGCCCCATTTGAGGGGCCCGACGTTGCTGAGGGCCCCCCAGGCCGTGTACCATACAGCCCGCGCCCTGGAGGCCCTAGGTAGCACACTAGTTAGATAGGCTTTGTTTTACTTACCTTTTGGTGTGTGTGTGTTGTCTTATTTTTGCCTGTTCAGATGCCGTTTCGGACTCGCAGCCCCAAGGCCGGACCTTGGGACTGGGTACACCAGAGACAGGCCCGAAACGAGGCCAGGCGCATTTTGGCGACAAACAGACCTCGTTTCGGTCCTGTAGGTCCCAAGGCGACGCCTTGGGCTAGGTGCACAGGAACAGGGTCGTTTTTAGGCCAGGCGCATTTCTGCGCCTTGCTGCATCAGCAGCATGGTCTGGACGTCCGGTAGGGACCCAGACCAGCTGGGCCGTTTTCTGAGGCCAGCAGCAGGTAGGCCCAGCCCGCCCAGCGCTACAAATAGCTGGGCAGCAGCTGGGCAAGGGGGGTTAAGTAGCTCACTTCTGGAGCGACACGCTGCTGGTTGGAGGCAGCGTTATTCTGCGCTAAGCTACGGAGTAGGGAGTAGTGGTGTAGGTAGTAGAGAGAGGCGGAGGCCTTACCTGCACGCGGCGAGCTTACCTGGCGCCATAGCTGGGCTCCACGCGGTACCTGCACACGACGACGACCACAGTCAGTACGGTGACAGCTACCTGCAGGTGAGATAGCAAGGAGGACGTCATCCTCTTCTTCTTCCTCCTCCATCTCTCTCTCTTCCTTCTTCTTCTGCCTCCTTCCTCCTCCTCCTCATCTTCTTTTTCACCTACGAGAGTGAGAGAGGTTATCGGCAGGAGATACCGGCAGAGGTTAGGTTGGGCACATTGCCCAGGATCTGATTCGACGTTCTGGGACAGACATTGGTTGGACACTCGGCAAGGGACTATTTTTGGGACTTCGCTATCGCGATCTTGGTCTACTCCCTCGCCTCCTTCTCCTTCGTCTCGTCCCTTCCCCCCATCTCTCATCCGTGGCATCTCCCCATGTATGTGTGTGGAGGGACCTTTCTTCTGTGATTGCGGTCCCTCCTCCCCTCTCACATGTGTGATGTATGATGGATGTCGGGTCAGTCCAGATCAGATCAGACCTTCTCTTTAAAGTTTTCCGCTGCGCCACGTTGTGCCATCTTGCATGTATCGGAATGTACATTGCTTGTTGATGCTACGCTGACCTTGCATTGTCCATTTCAGTCCTTTTCATCACATTGCGGATCCTTGGCTCCCTACACATTGTCCCATTGGGCATGCGTCAGTTGGTGTGGCCTGCAGGCTTGAACATTGGCTCATTACTTCATTGTATTGCTCTATTTGGATGGATTCTCGGTGCAATTGTGCTCTCTGATTGTACACGATTGCTTGGACATCTGTGTGATTTCGCAACTGGGTTTTCTGTATATCGTTCACACTCATATTCCTTGCAACTCTCATTTGCTGATACAAATTATACAATTGCATTTGTGCAAATGTCTGGATGATGTATATGCCTGTACGCAGGGGAATGAAGTACCATGAGCCGGAGTTCTGGAAATTTGGCGAGGAGGGGAACAAGTAAGTAGAGTTTTGTCTACTTACATGCACAGGTGTCTGGGAAATAGATGACATGCTCTGCATTACACTGGCAACTCTGCTTGCAAGGAGAAAAAAGAAACCGCCGGACAGCATGTGCTCATTCTTCTTGTTTTCCTCCAGCTAGTCTTTCTTTGCATTGTTTTGCGGTTGATGGTTGTCAGGCGTGATCCTGTGGGCAAAAATGGAAATGAAGCACACGCAGCTCATGTTGTAGCGAGGCGGCTTCGGACACCCAAGCAAGGAAATTGTGGTTGCGTGTCTTGAATGGTTTGTCTTTCGTGATTTGCAGATGCCATGTGGAGGCAACTGCCAATACCTTCAAGGCAACGCCACTGGAGCTGTTGCCCTGTGCTGTGCAGATCATCTGGCCCGATATATGGAGCATGGTAGATGAGCGAACACCCCTGCTCATATCCGACATGAGAAAGGGAAAGGCGATAACAAAAAAAAGATAGAGAGAGCAAGGCACGAGTCTTGGTGGCTGTTGTCGGCGTTTGGTGAAGGCCGCTGAAATAGGGAAAGGTATTGGGCGTAACAGATCAGCGCTCACTCAAAAGAAGTCGACGGAATGTGGAGCTGGCTGAACCTTCAGTGTCTACTATGACTACCGATGGTCAGCACAGCTTCTTCCTGGTTGTATCTGGAAAAGTCAGCCAAGTCAGAGGGACAGCAGTGGGCTGGAAATTGGTGTCTTTTCTGGGAAGGTCAGCTAAGTCAGAGGGACAGCAGTGGGCTGGCATTCGGTGTTTTATCTGTTGACTTAGACAGGCTGAGTAACATTACTCAGTTTGTCATGTTAACATAGAAAACACCAATTGCCAGCCCACTGCTGTTCCCTCGGATTTGGCTGACTTTTCCACATACAACCAGGAAGAAGCCGTGAAGGACAGTTCTGCTGTAAAATGATACTTGCATTGAGTCATGGCCCCATCTGCAGACTGGCGATAAATTTCGAATGTGGGAAGTGCTGCGAAAGGATGTACACTTCTCCGCAGTATGGCCCCAGCACTGCATTCCTTTTCTTTTGTATCATAGGGCCGCAGGTATAAAATTTCAGTAGGTACTACACAGGCCAAAATGGAGATTCGGTAGGATAAGGCCTGCAGGAACGGTAGAAGTCGCTAGCGGTAGGTAGGTAGGGAGTCGTCACGTGTCCAGTCCTGGTTAAGTTGCAGCTCAGTCCCAGGAAAGGCCTAGGTGACAGTCCGAATCTTTGTCGGTCACTGCCCGTGGTCAGGAACCTCCTCTTCTTCAACTCTTGCTTTTGCGGAAGTGAGAATGTAGTCGATGGTACTGGGCACCATAGATGTAGGATAGTGCAGTAAGAGAGGGAGAGTTAGTGAGGACATTCAGATGAAGATCGCAAGATCTGTGCACAGTAGGGGAGAGGGAGGGGGAGAGAGAGAGAGAGAGAGAGAGAGAGAGAGAGAGAGAGAGAGAGAGAGAGAGAGAGAGAGAGAAACCTGTCGGCTGCTTTTGTTCTTGGTGGCTATGGCTGCAGAGCTTGAGAAACCTGTGTACATCATTTCAAATTGTAAATAAGTTGTGTGCGTGCTCATATCGTGTGAAGAGTGTACATATATAGTGTGAATCTTGCTGGCTTGGTGTGGATCTTGAGTGCGATGCACGTATGAAGCTTGAAGCAATTTAGGCGAGAAAACAAAACCTCTTTAGCTGTGTGAAATGCAATCAAATGGCATGCAGCCTCGCTTACAGAGATTGAAGAACAATTTTCTACCATCCTTACCTCTTGACTTGCTACTTGCACGTTCTGTCTTTGGTTTTACGTGCAGGTACTTCAGGCATGCTGGGGGACAAATATATGCCATCTCCAATGATTTGGCGTCATACATTGCTGTGAACCAGTTAGTACTTCCGATTGCCAGTCACCCACAACCATGTGTTCGTCTTCGGTTCTTTGTTCTGCCCACTATATCGCAATGCCCGGTGACAACAATGTTCTCTTATGACAAAAACAATAGCTCACAAGGCTTCTGTGGCGGTTTTGATTGCTGGAGGAACCAGAAGTATTGTTATGTTATCATTTGTAGCAGTCAGTCATGAGTCTTCTTGCACGACCTGTTGGCGGAATGGTAGCGACCCATAACCAACTGTCAATCGACAGATGTGGCATTCAAATCCTGTGAGCTGTAACAAAACGCCACGGTTGGGGCGTGATCAAAAGTCATTGTCTGTAGCCCAAGTCCTGGCTCAGTTTATCTTGCAGATAATGCTGTCTCTCCCTTGGGAAAGGGAAAGTCGAATTTCACTAGTTCATACAAGGACACATCTACGTTGCTCACAGTCTGAAATGCCAAGGCACAACAGCATATGGTTGGATGAGCACAGTGCAATGATTACACCGCACCTCCCCGGCGATAAAAACCCTGGGGGACTGGTAGCACCGTTTTATCAGGGCTACCCGTAGCATTGTGTGGGAAGGGCGAAAATTGAAAATGCGTCAAATTGCCCGCCACAATTTATTTTGCAGTTGAATTTTTTTTATTTTCTTCTTTTTTGAAATTATTTTCCTGGAAAGATCACAACGAAATCTACGG